TTGCGGTTTCAACAAGAAGTCAAAAATATCACTTTTTACCAAAAATTACAAAAATATTCACCAAAATTAGAGAATTAAAGATATCATTACAAAATGAACAAATCTGAGAGAGGGTCACATGTAGTACCTTATATATGTAATATCAAAGCAATTGGACTTGCGGTTTTCAACAAGAAGTCGAAAATATCACTTTTTACCAAAAATGACAAAAATATTCACCAAAATTAGAGAATTAAAGATATCATTACAAAATGAATAAATCTGAGAGAGGTCCACATGTAGTACCTATATATGTAATATCAAAGCAATTGCACTTGTGGTTTTCAACAAGAAGTCGAAAATATCACTTTTTACTAAAAATGACAAAAATATTCACCAAAATTAGAGAATTGAAGATATCATCATGAAATGAACAAATCTGAGAGAGGTCCACATGTAGTACCTATATATGTAATATCAAAGCAATTGCACTTGCGGTTTTCAACAAGAAGTCGAAAATATCACTTTTTACTAAAAATGACAAAAATATTCACCAAAATTAGAGAATTGAAGATATCAACATGAAATGAACAAATCTAAGAGAGGTCTACCCAAGGTACATATACACCAAGTATCAAAGCATTCAGGCTTGTAGTTTTCAAGAAGAAGTCGAAAAAGTAAAACATTGACACGGACGACGGAGACGGACGACGACGACGGACAATCACTCATATGATAAGCTCCGCTCGACAAAGTCGACAGCGGAGCTAATAAAAAACTTGAACTGAAATAGTAACAATTACATTATGATGTACAGTGTATATGGGGAAATGATTGCCATTTCTTGTTTTCTGTTCTTAGTTATCACATTTACTATTTACTAAAAATCCAGACAACCCATAGAATAAGTTGAAATTATTGATGACAATGATATCCAATTTAGAATTTGTAAGTTTTTATTAAAAACCAAAGGTAGCTGATGACCAGGTGGGAGGTGAATTTATGCTAAAACTGTACTGTACATTTTTCAATACTAAGTCTTATGTGCTTGGATAAAACAGACAAGTGATCATTCAAACTACTGTGTTACCAGCAACCGTTAAATTCACATCAGTGAACATGTTGGAAAAAGATTTTTTTGATTGAAAAAAATAGTCAAAGACAACAATGGTAAAATTGGCCATCATGTAGGCCATTGTAGAAAAAAATATAATTCAAAATTTAACAAGTCATTGAAAATGACACAGTCCCCGTAAAATTTTTGAAAGTTCTCTTTGTGCTCGTCATATTAAAGCGGAGGGTTGTCGCGAGCGTGTCCTTGAAACTTGAGTTCCAAGTGGCATATACAACAGATTGTTTATTTACATGAAAACACATGTTTTGTGTAGTAGTAATATGGCCAAAAATAAAAACAGCCGTTATTCGGCCATCTTTGATCTGATTATGAAACACACTGTTATGTATGATGTATGTGCCAAATACAAATGAAAATGGTACATAAATTGTGGAAATATAGTAGTAAGGCCAAAAAGTCAGATGACTGTCAATCGACCATCCTTGACCAGAATTTGAAACAAATTGTCATGGACATGCATCCTAATATGTATAAAGTACATGTATGTGCCAAATTTGAATGAAAACTGACAAAGCACGTTCAAGATACAGCATAAAAAAACAACAAGATGCCTGCCAGTCGACCATCTTGGATCCAATTGCGAAATTAATCGTCATGGACATGTATCCTAACATGTATAATCTATGTACAAAGTTTGAATGACAACTGACAAAGCATGTCCAAAATACAAGATGGCTGCCAGTCGGGCATTTTGAATTGAATCACTAAACCACTGCATGTGCATATGTCCCACATAAGGTACTAGGCACATGCAAAGAATGAACGAAATCGGTCTGCGGGATTCTGAGATATGACTCCAGACGAACGCACAGACGGACTCCGAACGGGGATCAATAATTATAATCAGAATATTCTATTGTAGAAGTCTTTAAAATAACTATGGTATTTTAGTGAATGTATGCTTTGACATGATTTGAATGAATGTAACACTGCATGTTGAACATTCTACATGGAAACCCATTTCAGTTCAGTTTAATTAATTGAGGCATCTATAGATATTGTGAGACCGCCAAAAATAACGGTCATAATTATTCTTGAATTTGTTAAAACACATCTTTCCTTGTAAAGACATGACTTATATTTCTTTATGAGTTCCACAAAGCACCAGGGAGACAAAATAAAAACATCAACATCTCAAAACTTAGATCATGTCACCATTCAAAAATAGACCGCTTAAAAATGTTACAATCTTTCTTCATAAGAAACATCCTTAGACCAGATACAAGGCGTTGTTGCACCTTTCACACACAAAAAATGAACTTTTGGAACCAAAGTGACCATGCCTGCAATGCATATTGCTGGAGTGATGTGGCCATAATATTAGGCAAGAGTTCCTTTTGTAACCCCCCCCCTATCCCTAACACTCACTCCCTGTTACCCAATTCATTTGTATATGCCCCCTCTAGATAACTATAGGAGGGGCATGTACAATTAAATGGGGAGTGCTGGAGGGTAGGGGTAGGGGTAGGGGTAGGGTTAGGGATGGGGGGGGGTACAAAAGGAACTCTTAATATTGTAAAAGCAGGAGGTCACAATGCTACCAATTCAAATCCAACATCGTTAAAATATAGTATATTAGCGTGACAAGTGGAGTTTCGCAAGGGTCCGTACTTGGGCCATTGCTTTTCCTTATATACATTACTGATATTGACTACAACATTGTATCTACCTTGTCAAAATTTGCAGATGACACTAAAGTTTTCAATCAAATAAATAATGAACAAGCATTAGTACAAAAAGATTTAGATAGATTATACAAATGGTCAGAGGAATGGCAGATGCTATTTAACTCTGATAAGTGCAAAATAATTCATTTTGGCCAAAACAACCAATATTTTCAGTATCACCTTGGCAACGTTACACTTAGCTGTGTTCCTGATGAAAACGACTTTAGAGTGATTGCTTCAAAGGATATTAAAGTGTCTAAACAAGTTAAGCGGGCAAACTGTGTCCTGGGGGCCATTAAACAGACTATCACCAGCCGTAATGCTAAAGTTATTTTACCACTATATACATCATTAGTACATCAACATTTGGAATACTGCATTCATGCATGGTCTCCATACTTGCGGAAAGACATTGATCTTATGGAAAAATTACAAAGACGTGCAACAAAATTAATTTATGACCTGCGGAACTGTAGTTATGAACAAAGATTACGTGTGTTAAATCTGACAACTTTAGAAGAACGTCGTTCTCATGGGGATTTAATTAAAATATTCAAAATATTGAACAGTTTCGAAAAAATAGATTATAGAGCTTTCTTTACCCATTGGACAGTTCCATATAAGTTGCGTGGTCATTCATTCTGTCTTAGTAAGGGACACACTAGATTGGAATTAAGAAAGAACGTTTTTAGTCAAAGAGTGATATTCTTATGGAATGAATTACCAGAGGCTGCTGTTACTGCAAAAACTGTAAATGAATTCAAAAACAAGTTCGACACTTATACAATGTAGGAGGATAGCCCTCCAGCGATCATCATAGGTCATTGGCCGCCTGATCCTGCAGCTGCATATTAACTATGCTATTAAATCTGCAGCCATCCAGTATAATCCAGTATACTCGTATAGATCCTCTGGAGGAAAATAACAAACTTGTGTGTTCTGTTTCAGATTAACAAATGAATATCATGTAAACAAACAATGTATTATACACGCGCTGTGGACATCGCTACGAGTCACATATCGAACAGGGCGTGGCGCGGCGACCACCGCCATCTAAATATTTGTGGAAACCATGTTTTTACCTAGGACTGTGACTAGGTCAGTAACATTTTCATTTGGTGTACACATTACAGTCAATCATGTCAGATGAGTTGTCTGTTGCACTAGAAAGAACGACGGTTAATCCTGGCAGTTGGCAGGGTTATTAGGCTATACACCTATACTAGCTATACAATTATTGTATTGTAGGTTTCTAATATTTTATGGCGTGCATGTACTTGGGGTGCATTGTAAGTCAATATCATCAAACAACGCTCCAACCCGAAGCCATGCAGGGCTACATAGTTTAGTTATCACTGTTGAACAGGAAAGACCACTGTCTGAGTCAGTGACTGTGGCCAGATTTCTGTTCCTCGCGAGCGAGTCTAAAGAACTTTTCTTCCATAAGCATGCGATCATCCCACGATGGGCAAAATTATACCAATAGCAAAAAAAAGAACTACACCGTAATCAAGAGCTACAGAACTTACTACACCCACCGAAGCTACATTGTAAGAGTGACAACGTGCTCTCATATAAAAACGGAGGCCATATTATAATTGTTGTCAACATCGAACACAATATAACTCGACAGGGAACTACAATCGCGAGTCTACAATACCTCAAGAAATGTTCAGGAGCTGTAGTGAAAGTAGTAAAATCCGACAACAAACATTCCAAATCCATCCCAGATTGTTCCCACATGAGGGTCGCCATGTTGCACTCATTGAGAGTGAGCCCTCAGCGATGAACTAATCCAGTCATGATCTATTAATAACTCATTTGCATAACTACTACTACTATTGTAAATAGCATATGACGTTTGGCAATAATAAACCAATCAGTGAATGGGGACAACAGGTATTGTACAACCACGTCGGGCGGTATAAGGCAAGTTTGGGGACTGGAAAATTATAGTGATTCACGATGTGACACTAGAAAGAGATACTTTCCTTTTTGAAGATACATTTTAAGCCAAGTTATTGAAAACTGTATTACAGAATAACCACCGGACAGAATTTAACCATGGTAAGTTAAATCATAAATTAGTTCGACAGGACTCCAGAAGGAGTACCTACACTTTATGCAATTTTTTTAAAGATTATGCTAATTTATTCATGACGTAGCAGTTTCTGTGCTCATGAATATTCATTAATGTGTGGATCAATACATTCTAAAGGGGCGATATATTATTTTGGGGGGGAAGAGTTAGAAAGGGGGATTAGCAATCCTTAGGTGGTCAATACAAAAGAAGGTGACCATTTGGAGAGCAGCATTGATACTCGTGTCTGTTGTTGCACGTGACCTGCAGCTGTCAACTGTGTTGATTCTTCAACGACTTCGACTGGCTTCCATGTGAGGTAGTTTCTTGTGTTCCGTTTTTCTGACTTGAGTTCTTGATATACAGAAGTTGCTATTTATGTTTGTTTCTTTCTTTCATATCTTGTCCGGTAGGAGTGTCCTGTCCGTGATTCGAACTTGCAATCTTTGAGTTCCCAGCGATCTCTCACGATGCCTACATTGCAAATGAATGATTTGTTTTCATATTTAGCTTTATTACCAAACGCTTCAGCGTGGTATTAAGAGTTTGTTTTCAGGGGTGGGTGATACCAAGGTGGGAAATGGATGCACATATGGGGTTAATTCCTTGAATTGCAATATATAGTGTTTTCATGTTTCGTCTTACATTTCTGTGGTATTTTGTTCCGAAATTCAGTATGTTGTGTGCATTCCAGGGTTGTTCGTTTTGTGCTTAAAACACCGAATAAACGGCAAGGTAAAGACTATGTCTAATTATAGTAAACACGTACTGCGTGCGAGACTCGAACCGGCGCTGGCGTACGGCACCTAATCGCCTAGCTTCACGCCACTACACGTCTTCCCCTCGGCCACCGGGCATGGCATCCCCCAAAAAGGATGCTTAATAACCGAGCTTATCACGTGCAGAGAACATGAAACCCGTCCACGCGATCCGCGCCACACAGCGTGGCCAGAATGCGGCAAAGGCCTTCAGATCTGGCTGTAGTAGGATGGTGAAAGTAATGGTACAGTATTGTAACAGTGAATAAGTACTGAGAAATAATTCTAAACTCATAGTAGCTGTCGACATAGGAAGTAAAGTAAGCAAATAACACCGAATAAACGACAAGGTAAAGACTAAGTCTAATTATAGTAAACACGTACTGCGTGCGTGACTCGAACCGGCGCTCGCGTATTTTTAGTGGCAGAGTCGAATAGTTTCACTCCCACTGGGAAATCTGCATTGTTGCTTGAATGAGAGCTAATTAAAGGCCCAGGTATACTATAAATACACTCCTAAACAATAGGGATCATTTCCTTGCTTGTCACCCTGTAGTAAACAGCTCCAGCCAATCAAAGTCATGTGATGTTGGACCGCTGAAACAGGATGCATCATAGGCTACGCAAGTGATTAACACCATGCATTAGAATAGCCACACCTCCAATTCACACTTGCCCGGGGCAAGTGAATTGGGCCTTTAAACACATTTTCCAGACCGGCGAAAGAGTATGCAACAGCCAATTTTAACAGCCTGTCACATGATTTTACTCTGAATGTCAACATGAAAAGAGGCTAACCATTTTACGCAGGAGTAATTGGGAGTAGAATATGTGAGGGATAGTATCAACAGAGATGTGTATAGTGAAAAGTAATATCTATCCTTCTTTTGCATCTCTGAGCATTTCTGTTTTAGTATATTGGTTTGAAAATGTTGAACTTGCATGATTTGCAATGTGTTTTTTTTACTGGAACTCCCCTATTGATCGAATCCCGGGTTTGAACGAGAACGGCACACCACGTGATTCGTTTGAATACAATGCTGATGGCAAACATGCCGTGCTACTGCGGTACTCCACTGACGGGATGACTTACTAGTACTGCATGCTACAACTTCGCTTGTGATGTTGCTTGTTAGTCATGGATTAAATGATCTTGATCTTGATGTTGTTCATGTTGACGTTGGTAATCTTTATTTGGAACTGAGTAACCTCCTGGTACTTCGTACTATGATAAAAATCAGTCAACATACATCATGTTCTCTCAATCGTAGTATTCCATGTGATGTACACCTAATATGCCAAAAATGTTGCTGAACTGGATAAATGAATAAATGAACTGGATTTGAACTGTATAAAAATACTAGACGAAAATTTGTTTACAAAATAAAAATACTTCGGTTGCCAATGAAAACAAACCGGTAAAAAAAAACAATATGTTTTCGGCTGTTATCATGGTAGGACATGAACGTGAAGCTAACGTCTGTTTATAACTAAAACCGGGCTCCTTATACGAGGTTCGCAAAATAACATTCAGTCTTTAGAAGTCACTTTATTTTATTGTTAGGACGTATTCAGCCGTTAAATGTATTATTTCCAACCGTTTTGCAATAGTATTTTCTAGATTGGAGGTAGCATTTACATTTTATTCAAAGTTCAAAGCTGCGTTGGGATTACGTTGACAGTGGTAACAATGTCGGCGCCGGTGATCTCTTACCAGTGCGCAACGCAGCCAGAATAAAAGGCATGATCATTTAGACACTGCTATTACAAGACTAGTAGGAGGTAATACATTTGGGGCGAAAGTATTCAAAAAACAGATTTTGGCTGTTGCCATGTTAGCGGTAGGTCAGAATTGTTTTTCCAATTAGTG